CCCAGCGCCCACCTCGCCCCCGGGGTGCGCGTTGACTCGCCCCCGGAGAGCTGGAAAAGCCGGGGGACCTAGAGGAGCTTGTGGCGTTGCTGGAGGAGGAGGACGAAGCCATGGGGAGCGGGGCCAGCGCCGAGGACAAGGAGATGGCCAAGAGGTCCAAGGAGCTGGAGAAGAAGCTCCAGGAGGACGCGGATAAGGAGGCCAAGACCGTCAAGTTGCTGCTGCTTGGTGAGGGCTGGGGGTGTCCCCGAGGGGTGTCCCGATGTCCCCACCCTGGTGGAGGTTGTGGAGGGTCCCCAAGGGTTGTCCTGATGTCCCCACCCCGTTGGAGGTTGGGGTGTCCTCAAGGGTTGTCTCGATGTCCCCAAGGGTTGTCCTGATGTCCCCACACCGTTGGAGGTTGGGGAGTGTCCCCAAGGGTTGTCCCGATGTCCCCACACCATTGGTGGGATTGGGACCCCCTGGGCTCCTCCCGTTCCCCCTCGGAGCTGCCACCAGCCAGGAGAGGTTGTCCCACCAACCGAGTGTCCTTGGGGTTGTCCCTATGTCCCCACCCCCCTGGAGCCTGGGGGGATGTCCCCAAGAGTTGTCCCAATGTCCCCACCCGGTTGGAGGTTGGGGGATGTGGGGATGGGGTTTGGGACCCCCGGGCTCCTCCTGCCCCATCCCTGATCCCCCTCTCCACCTGCCAGCAGAGCTTGTCCCACCTGTGGGTGTCCCCAAGAGTTGTCCTGATGTCCCCAAGGGTTGTCCCCATGTCCCCACCCTGAGGAGGCTCAGGGGGATGGGGGTTGGGACCCCCTGGGCTGCTCCTGTTCCCCTTTGGAGCTGCCACCAGCCAGGAGAGGTTGTCCCACCCCTGGGTGTCCCCAGGGCCATCCCTGGGAAGAGCTGGAGGTGCCATCGGCTCTTGGGGTGGCAGGGACGGGGGGGTCACAGGGAGGGGACAGGGACAGCAGGGCTGTGGCACATCCCAGGGGTCAGGGAGAGCCTGGGGACATCCTGCCACCAGCACCCCCAAACCCTGGGGGGTCCCCTGGGGGTCCCTCTGCACCCCATGGGGCAGAGGGGTGACCCTGCAGGGTAAAGGGGTTACCCCACAGGACAGCATGTGACCCCGTGGGGCAGAGGGGTGACCCCCCAGCATATGGGGGTGACCCCATAGGACAGGCGGTGACCCCAAGGGGCAGGGGGGTGACCCTATGGAGCAGGGGGGTGACCCTATGGGGCAGGGGGTGACCCCCCCAGCGTATGGGGGTGACCTCACAGGCCCAGGGGGGTGACCCCGTGGGGCAGAGGGGTGACCCTGCAGAGTAAAGGGGTGACCCCACAGGCCAGGGGGGTGACTCCCCGTGTCAGGGGCGGCGGCGGGGCCTTATCCAGGTGGGGGGGCCGGGGGTCAAGGCGATTACCACCCTAATTCTAAGCGGCTTCCTGGGCCACCCTAAGCCGCTTACGAGGCACCGCCGGCACCGCCCGGGGGTGGGTGGGACGGGTGGGACCCCAGGGACCCCCTCCAGGGGGGTCCCCAGCGCCCCCCGCCGCGGTCCCACACTGCGCGAGAGGGGACAGGGGCGCGGGGACGATGGCAGGGGGCCGGGCGGGGGGAGACAGTGGCTCCGGTCCCCTCGGGGTGCCCGTGGCAGCCCCGCTGAGGTGCCTGTTCCCACCCTTTTCCAGGGGCCGGAGAGTCCGGGAAGAGCACCATCGTGAAGCAGATGAAGTGAGTGCGGGATGGGGAGAGGGGACATCACCCCCCAGCCCACGGGCAAGGGGTGGCAGGACTCCCATCACCCCCCCCCCGGTGTCACACCGCCGACTCCCGCGGCACGGGGAGGGCAGGGGGTGCCCCCCGGGGCAGGGGGTGCCCCACGGGGAAGGAGGTGCCCCTCGGGGGGGTGCTGAGGCCGCGGTGCCCCCCAGGATCATCCACCAGGATGGGTACACGGAGGAGGAGTGCATGGAGTTCAAGGCCATCATCTACGGCAACATCCTGCAGTCCATCCTGGCCATCGTGCGCGCCATGTCCACGCTGGGCATCGACTACGCCGAGTCCTCCTGCGCGGTCAGTGCCCCCCGAGCCCCCCCAGGGACCCCCCAGGGACCCCCCGGGACCCCTCGAGCCT